TCAGCTGCAGCTCAAAACTCATGATCTTCATACATTGTGCAAGAAAGTCAAATATTTGCTTCAACAACCCTAATGTAACCATTAACTCTTGCTTCAGATTCTGGCACTATCTGACTCCATTTAAAGGTCACATTGGTTAAGAAAAATGCAGTTATCATCAGCTATTCAGAACAAATATATCATCAATAAAAATTGGAAACAGAAAAGTACTTTTACATTAAGTCTCTAACAAGCACTAATCCTTTCTTAATATGCAAGGAATCATCCTGCTTTCACTCAAATCAGTGCTGGCATTACTGACAGCTGAAAAATACTACCCACTAGAACGTATCTCTCAGCACAGGACGAGCTAGTTCATGGAAAAACTGAGCAGCTACTGAAAAACAGCCACCCAAGACATTTATAAACACATCTCTGTAAAGCTAGGATCTGACCCTTGGGATCGCTGGTGAATTCAGAAGAGCTTATTTTGGAAACTGGTGGAAGAGGCAGGGGAAGGAAAGGAACAGTTCTTTGATCTTTAACCAGTGCTAATTTTAGGCTCTTCTCTTTGAAAAGCTTCAGTAAAGAGGTTCGTCAGCACAGACTATGAAATTAATTATTTTTTTCTGCTTGTTAATGTCTGAGCAAGTTACAGGTAGCCATGCCTACTGCAAGGATGTCGGACCTTTTCCCCTTTTGCCCCATTTGCTGTGCAGGACAAGTCCCACAGAAGAATTCAACTTCAGGAAGGCAGAAAGTGAGATGATGCTTTTGGTCCTCCAGTAAGTCAAAGTTTGTCTACGGATCTTTTAGACATGATGGTTTTTGTAAAAGCTGCAGCAGTTAGGCAACTAGTCCTACTGACTTGGAAACCCAGCTTGGACGTATCAAATTTTGTGCTGGAGAGCTACAACAGTTGCACACCAATTTTTGGCTGAATTAGTAGTTATATTTTGTTAAAAAAATGGTTTTTTCCCCAGAAAAAGTTGTCATCTGAGACCAAAACCAGATATACATAAAAATAACTAAGTCTAGAATGAACATCAGCGTCCTTGCACGTTTCCTAAAATGCTTCCAGCATGACAGCCAATTCGAGTTTCAGAAGACACAGGACACCTCCTCCCTCCTTTCTCAATGATTTTTTTTTCCTTTTAAGAAGCAGAATTCACTGTGCTGCCAAACTAAGATTTATTTTAAACTCTGTTTCTATTAACTTTTGTTTTTCACTTTTCTCCTCAGGCCACAGATACTTGCTGTTTATTACACTGCATGCCAAACACTACTCAAAGAAGTATCTCCTGTGGCATTATATAGCTCATGAATCTTTTGAATTCAAGACTAGCGACAATCTAACCCTGGATCACAAAAGAGCTATGTCATTCTAAAAACGAATGTTTCCTCCTCTCTTAGAGCGAAAAATATTATTTTACAATTCCATTTTTCTTGGATGCTTACTTCTGCACTAGTTGTTAATCAAACCATTTGACCATGAAATAGCATTGATATTTGATATATGTGAGAAAAATTATTCTGTTTGCAACAACCTAACTGTTGGATACTCACCACAGCAATAACAGGAATAAGCACGCCCAGATTTCCTGCGCTACTGGAGGCCTGGAAAAAGAAAAGGGAAATTATCAAAACATCTACAAAAGCATTTCCAAAATACCTGCTATAAGACTTATTTCAGGCATCAAACATTCCTACTGTCTATGCAAATGAAAACATACACTGCCAATTCCAACTCTGTATCTTGCAAACAGATGTGCATGAGGTGGCCAAGACAACACCCCGAAAATCCACAGGATTGGGCACACCCTGGAGTCTTACAATAAAGCTTTTCAGGTGGCTCCTCATGGACTATTGAAGGGATCTTTTTTTCCCCTTCCAGCATGGGGTCTTTTATGTTTGGAAGTTAGATATTATGCCTTGAGCTAAAGGTGAGGGGGGAATATTCCTTGATACCACATCTCCTCTGGCAGCCAAAAACTGCAAGAAAAATGCTCACATTAAATAGGTGGCCACAGACGAGCGACAAATGTTACTAGAAGTCTCATTTTACTACCAAAATGAAGCCAAAAATAACAAATCTGTAAAAAGACACCATTTTCAAGAATTTATTTAAGCAGGGTAGCAGCCTTTTCCATTGAAATGTAAGAAGCATAGGGAAAACATATACTTCCTTTGACTTACTAGGACTTTAATTACATTCTGTACAACAAGTGTGTTTGCTCTTGGCCAAATACAGTGTCTAAAAACTGAAAACATTCACTGCACACAGCACGTTGTCTCTCACCTTCTCTGATAAGGCAAACACTGATAGCACAGATACCATGCTCAGAGACGTCTCCTCTCTAAAATCTTCCCCTGCCTCCCATATCCCTCCACACTGGATTTGGGAAGGAGAATTCCCCAGCTTCCTCCTTACAAGAAAGAGACCAGGTACAGAGCCTGCTGGTCCCACAGGGAGCAGGCAAGACAGACAAGGGTACAGCTATGCATGAGGTAGGATAAATCAAAAGGAAGCAATGAAAAAAAAAAAAAAAGAAAGAAAGAAGAAAAGAGAGAGAGAAACAAAGCCAAAAAGTCTTCAGATGAAACAATGATACAACCCAACTAAAACACGTCAGTTTTCTTTCCTGTAGCACTGAGGATAAAGCAAAGCAAAAGATGGACCCTTAAATATTTTTGAAGGGAACGAAAGAACAGCACTCAAGTCACTCTAAGGGGTAGGAGCAACTGGAAAAAAAACACTGTATTTTTTTTTGCTAGCATCAGGACAGTCCACTGCACATGACAAACTGCTGCAGAGTCAGCGTACAGATGCAAGCTAACTGAGACAGCCAGAGCCCAGCACATGACACTGACAGACAGAACTGTATAAAACCCACTATTCTACCAGCATTTTTGTACAGAAATGGAATATAGCCTCTTTATGACAGTACATAGCACTAGGATGAAGATGATGCAACGATTTCCATCCCTGGGCATACTCAGGGGACATTTGTGTTAACTATCAGCAATAGCAGGGGGAAAAAAAAAAAAAGTTATTTTTCTTCTTCTCACAGAAGCCACTTTTGCACACTTGAAAAATACGGTTTAATACAGAACAAATAAGCCACTGAAGCGTTTTAATGGTTAGCAAGCAAATTTAAGTCCATAAAAAGGTACGCTGAGAAGCAGAGGACATAGGCAAACTATCAAAGAAAAATAATTGCTTGTTTGGGAGCACATGTGCAGAGGGTTACCTACTTCATCTCTTCTTGAAAATGAAGTAACTCAGTCTTCAGAACACCTTTCATACCTTTTAGTCTACACTGAGTAAAGAGTGTTCTAGTGAAAACTGCTATCAGTATCTTCATAATAAAGAAACACTGCCTCCTAGCTCAAATCCACGTTAAATCAATCACACATTTTTCCATTTGCAGGCAGCATTAAGTCAGTGCAGCAGTTTGTCTCCCATAGAGATTCCAAAACTGAAACAGTGGAAAAATATCCCTGAAAGGAGGAGGGTGGAAACTAATTTAGAAGTGTCATTTTAGAGCAATGTTTACAATATGTTTTTCACCATTTCAGCTTGCTTATCTGTGGTTAAAAGAATCTATGAAACCCCCGCAGAGAAATTTTGCACCACAGACTTCGTGAAAAGCAGGTTGTCCCTAGTTCCCTTTTAAGAGAAGCGCTGGCATCCCTGATCAAATGCAGTCTATCTTCAAAGCAAACAGAGAGGGATTTACCAAGAGTTCACCCGCCCCATAAGACGATAAAGAAAGAACTTAGTACTATTAAAATGTAGCGTGCACAGCAGGGGTTAAAAAGAAAAAAACCCGCATTGTTCCCCTCAGTACTAGGAAAATGGCCCTATTTCAACAGGAAGCGTTACCTATCTGCCTTGAACAGCTCTCAAACCGCTTCTCCGAGAAAACCTTAACTTTATGGTATTAAAACATTTGAATTATTAAAACATACAAGTGTATTTTTTGTATATAAAATCACAATCAAATACTGTGAGTTTTTACAAGTTATCCGAAGGCAGTGCACAAACGCCAAGAGGTTACATCATTTGAACACTAGGGAGGAACATAAGTGGAGGAAGGCTCTGATTTTTTTGTGAGTAGGAAGCAACCACATTTTGCTTTTCAAATGGTAATATGTATCTCAAGAGCAAAAGTCAAGGTTAACAGCTTGTTTATGAGTATATTTTAGAGCAAAGATGAGAGGAAGGTACGGTGGGAAAGGCTGAGATTTTTGTTTGCTTCTTAAGCAGCACAGGCACATCGACTACTCTGGATACTTTACTGAAATGGGAAGAAAAGCTAATACGAAGCGAGGTGAAAAAGTCTTCACATAAGAAAAAAAAGCAGAGAGTTCTGA